GCACAAATCAGCCACTACATAGGCTAATCAAGGCACACTTGGCAATTTGCAAATAAACCACAATTTAGCCGAAGAAGTCCCAATAATCTCATAATGACCAGCCACTAATCAGTCCACTCTAGGCCACCAATTCACTCCCAAATCATCACATTAGACCATTAAAAACTCCACAAAATCAGCCACTACGTAGCCCACACATTGCACCCATTCTAATCCGCATAATTGCCTAAATCAAGTCCACAATAAACAGCCTACAACCAGCCCATTCTAGGCCTCCAAATCACATTTAATCACCACACTAAGCCACCAAAATGGCCACAAAGTTAGCCCTAATCATCCGCCACTAATTAACCCATAAACCTATCTAGAAATGCATAATGGCCTAATTAGGGTTTAGGGTTTGTACTCACTAGGTCTCAAGTTCCAAATGTGGGCTGATCGCGAGAGAAAACGGGTCGGACGACGGCTGGTTCAAGCCGGTTCAGCGGCGGCGCTCCGGCGGTCCTCACGGCGGCGCTTGGCGGCGAACGGCAGGCTGGTGGCGTTCCGGTCAAGGCGGGGCTGGTGGTGCCACGAAATGAAGAGAGAAGGAGAGGAAGAGACGGTCGGGATGGTCGGGCGAGGGTGGTGAACGGGCGGCCTCGGCGAGCGGCACCGGCGGGCGGCGGCGGCGGTGCTCCGGCGTGGCTGGCTCACACGGCCAAGGAGGAGAGGAAATGGAGAGAGTGAGGCGTGAGAGAGGGAGTGGCCGGTGGTGAAATGGTGAGAGTGAGAGGAGAGAGAGATTGCAAGAGGTTTTTAGCAAATTGGTGAGTGGGGTGGTTCAACTAATCCACCAAAAATGACCATCATGTCCAATAATCAAGGGCTTGGATTGAATCTTGCTAAAATATCTAGGGGCAAATTAGTCCATCAATTTTGGCAATAATAGAGGCTGATTAGTCCAAACTAAATCCCAAAATTCGGAATCAAGGCTTATGGGTCCAAGGGCAAAACGGTAATTTTCCGGTCCCGGGCCGAAATTCCATTTTTCGATCATACCGATCCTAAACATGATTGGCCACACTAATACGATGCCGTCCTTGCAAAACAGTCGCGTTCGTTCGTGAAATTCGACAATCAAGTCCAGATTCAATTCCACGATCAATTTCGCTCAAATGCGATTTTAGCGTCTTTCATTAACGGGCGGCTGTTTAGGGGTTACGCGTATCGACTTAGGATTACTCGAGTCGTGACGGTTTCGATTTCCAAGAGAACGCGAGGATTTATCGCTAGTTCCGGGGGTCGCGATCGTTCGGAATAAGTTCAGGATTATTTGCCACGCGTACTCTCGGTCGTGCGGAATCACCCGAGATCCGATCGCACGTCGTTGGCCAAACCAAATCCGTCACTCTCCTTGGATCGGCCCACGTTGGCCCAAAATATTTCCTCGTCGTTTCTCGAAATCGGACTCGATTCACGGTCGAGTTCTTGGGTCCACGTACCGTTTTCCTAGTTAGCCATTCCCTAATGGTCAGTATCCCGAGAATGATCAGTTCCGGGCGAGACTTACTAAAATGAAATGAGAAATAACATCTATTTCATTGATCACGAAAGTGGGTCGAATTCAGGATGTTACACATCAGCTATTCAAGATAACACTCCGGAATTCTGCCATAAAATGAGGTATGCACTCTTTGGACCTTATTTCATCGAAGGGTAGGAATTTCTTAATTTAAGGTGTAAATTTAAATTTTTAATACATACCCGGTTTGAGATTTGACTAAACAAAAAAATCTTCTTGAGATGATACCAACGCCTCGTAAGTGACATCCTCGGGGTGAGGAACTTCGGCAGCATATCCTTGACTTCAGTGACATCTTTAAGTCGCCCAATGCGGAGCCAAAAAATTGTTTTACAAAGGATGTCCTTGCGCGGCATGTGTCCAATTCGAGAAGATGAGGCACTCAATAATTTCATACATAATAATTGCACATTCTTAGACACGTCCATGTCTCAACGTGAAAAACGTTCCATCTTTATCTTTAAATATGAGCTAATTTTATCGATTAACTTTCCATCTGAACTTCTATCCTCCCTATTTTCCTTGCCTTTTCAAGGATAACATAAATTCCATTTTCAATTAATTATTTTCCTTAGAAGAAATTGCGATGTTAAGCTTTTGAGAATACCCACATAAAGCGGCAAAAGTACACCACAAGTGCCATAACTTGTGTACGGCGATCACTTTGGTGCCATAACTTTTTTTCGGATCACTTTGGTGCCAAGTCGGAGGAAAAGAGATCACTTTGGTGCCAATTTGGCCGAAAATCCGACGTGGCATTTTTTATTAATTTTTGACGCCGACGTGGCTCGCCGGAGGCTGAGTCAGCGTGTACAGTCAACATTTTTAATTTTAAATAATTTTTTTAGCGTGTACAGTCAGCATTTTTAATTTTAAATATTTTTTTCCTTTTTTTTTCTTCTTTCCTTTTTCTTTTCTTTTCTTTTTTTTCTTTTCTCCCCTCGCCGACCGGTTGCCGGTGACCGGCCGGCCACCGGCGAAGCCCGGGAAGGGCTGGGGGAGGGCGGCCTTGCCCATGGCCGGCGAGGGGCTGCCGACCCTCGCCGGGGACAGGCGAGGCCGGCCCTCGCCGGCCCGAGGCGAGGCCGCCCCGGCCGGCGTCGGGCGACGGAAGCCTCGCCCGGGCGGGCGAGGGTCGCCCTCGCCGGATCTGGCGAGGGCAACCTCGCCGGCGTCGTGCGAGGTCGCCCACGCACAACTCATGCGAGGGCGACCTCGCCCGCCCGGCGAGGGCTGCCCTCGCCCGACGCCGGCGGGTCGCCTCGCAGATCCGGCGGGGCGACCCCGTCGGCGTCGGGCGAGGGAAGCCCTCGCCCGTGCGGGCGAGGGTCGCCTAGCCTCGAGTCGGGCGTGGCGACCCTCGCCGGCGTCGGGCGAGGAAAGCCCTCGCCGGGCGGGCGAGGGTCGCCCACGCCCGACTCGGGCGTGGTCGACCCTCGCCCGACGCCGGCGAGGGTGGCGAGGCGACCCTCGCCCGCCGGCGAGGGTCGCCCACGCCCGAGTCGGGCGTGGGCGACCCTCGCCCGCCCAGCGAGCTTCCCTCGCCCGACGCCGGCGAGGGCTTCCCTCGCCCGACGCCGACGAGGGTCGCCCACGCCCGACTCAGGCTAGGCGACCCTCGCCCGCACAGGCGAGGGCTTCCTCGCCCGCCCGGCGAGGGCTTCCTTCGTCCGACGCCGGCGAGGATCGCCTCGCCGAGATCCGGCGAGGGCGGCCCTCGCCCGGGCCGGCGAGGGGCGGCCTCGCCCGGGCCGGCGAGGGTCGGCCGCCCCTCGCCGGCCATGGGCAAGGCTGCCCTCGCCCAGCCCTTCCCGGGCTTCGCCGGTGGCCGGCCAGCCACCGGCAACCGGCCGGCGAGGGGAGAAAAGAAAAAAAAGAAAAGAAAAGAAAAAGGAAAGAAGAAAAAAAAAGGAAAAAAAATATTTAAAATTAAAAATGCTGACTATACACGCTAAAAAAATTATTGAAAATTAAAAATGCTGACTGTACACGATGACTCAGCCTCCGGCGAGCCACGTCGGCGTCAAAAATTAATAAAAAATGCCACGTCGGATTTCCGGCCAAATTGGCACTAAAGTGATCTCTTTTTCTCCGACTTGACACCAAAGTGATCCGAAAAAAAGTTATGGCACCAAAGTGATCGCCGTACACAAGTTGTGGCACTTGTGGTGTACTTTTGCCCACATAAAGCTGAATGTTTATAAAAAATTTATGATTGAGGATGATGATCTTTTAGTTTTATTAGGAAAAGTTAAAAATGTCAATGTATCTCTTTTACGAGAAGGTGGCATCTGCAAGATTCAAACTCAAATTATGTCCGGACGATTTCTTGAATTGGCAACGAGATAAAAGTCCTTTTGAAGTAGGATTTATTTTACACAAACTGTCAGTTTAAAAGTCTTTTTTACACAAGCAATACCAGAATGAGAAGGTAAACTTATTTATGAAATAAATATACATCCTAAATATAAAAATTAAGTATGTGTCATTCTAAAAAACCTGGTTATGTAAAGAAATTTTGACAATGTTAGAGCACTAAATAAAAATCCACCGAAATATGTTGTTTGCAGAGAAGAGGATGGTGGAAGAAAAGCAATACATGGTGCAATTGTAAAACACTTATTGACCAGGCATTTGCTATCCGAGAAAGATCTGATGATGATCTGCAATTGTTGTTGAACAAACACATGTGGTCAGGTAGCCCGGATTGAACTTGATAAACAACAACAAACTGCGAAGGAGTTCACTCGAACATCATATCCAGCGTATGTAAAATCGATTTCCTTATTTTTACATGATTTTTTTCCCTCGCTCCATTTCAATGAAGGATAAGAGAGTCTGGGATGATTTAGGTTGTCATGTTTTGGAAGGTTGCAATGTTTATGTTCGTCTTGTTTATGAAGGTTGCAATGTTTAACTGTACATTTGATACCTTAACTTGTTTGTTTTGGGCGGCGATGAGGGAGGGATTCTTTCAGGGATGAGAAAGGCTTGAGACAGAGACCAATTTATTTGGTTGCGGATATTAAGAGTTCCTTTCTAGACTTCTTGCTAAATCTGTCGAAGGGAAGAGGTTACCTTCACATCGTTACGGTCTAATGTTAAAGCCCCTCACGTTTTCTCTTGTGGATGAAATCACGATATCCAGCGATAGTACTGCTCCCACTTCTCTTAAATTTCAAAAGTCATTTAATTAACGATCGGCTCAAGACTTCCTTTCAAAAACAAGTATTGTATGCCGCTAGAGTTTCAGCCACCACCTTGCGGCTACCAGTGAATAATAGCGGCTTCAAAATGTGATCAGCATTACCCATGGGCCATGCCCATGAGGGACGTGAGTCTTCCCTTGATATCAGAGAAAAAACATGGAGCAGGGTATAAATAAAGAAAGGGCAATGCTGAGACTCTTTGGCACTTTTGAGCAGGCAATTCCCCAGAGAAAAACAAACCGCTCAAACCAGCTTACTGACAGCATTAAAACGGAACCGAACAAGATGATCGGTGAATGGAACAGTGTGAACAATATGTGGTGTAAAATCATCAGCTATGTGAACTCGTAGCTAGCTCGACTAACTAAAGAGAAAGCCAAGACAAAGATGTCTGCCCCTCTGGAGCTCGGGGGCCTTAATCTATTGTAATCTTCGTGCCCTGGCATCCAAAAGCATGTGCAGCGCAACAAAAACAATGCACTCGGCAAAATGATTTCGGCAAACAAACCGAGTAAGCCCATTAAATCCAAGCACGATGGCCTTTGAAAGCTCTTGACAACGAACATTGACGAGAGCACCAAGTTCATGCCAGTATCCTAGTCCCAAGATATAGGAAAAGTAAAAAGATGACAAAATTGAATAATGCAAAATATAATCCATCTCTTCCGATAAGTATGTAAGATAAAGGACCACAACTTGTAAAGATAAGAAACGCCATTTTGAGGGGTTAGAAAATACTGGCCATGAAGAAAAAACTTCACAGGAATCTTGACGAGGCAAAAAAGGCGTTAACTCTTGTAAGGGCATAACCAAAGAGCAAGAAAAACACCATATAAGGGGGTGAAACCCAGAATCAGAAAAACACCATACAGTGCAAACAACCACGGAGTTGGAACAATCTGAACCCGTATTCACTCACCTAAGTTGAATCGAAGCTCAATTTGGATAAATCTTGGGCAAACAATCACGGATTTGGCGAGGAACCAAGAGAGATAAACACCATTGTAGTCCACGTAAGCCACCCAAACAATGTCTTTTTTTTTTATCACTTAAGCCACGTGGATACCACATTAACTCCGTCTACCTTCCCTTATCCACGTAAACAGGCCACAAAGGATTTTTAACTATAGTATTTGATGGAATCATGACAAATGGTAGATGTGTCATACAGGTAGACCTATCAAAATGGATTATAAATACATTTCTTAACTCATATTTGATGGACTGAGTTCTTATATAAGTTATTTATATTCTGTAAATGGGTCATAAATGGATTCAGAATGGCAAAGACCAAAATAATATGGGTGTTAAATGGATTCATAACGTATTTAGACTCAACCCACCTTTATAATTCTCTTTTCACTCTTTCTCGCCCTTACTCGATCTCGTGCTTACTCACTCCGCGCTTTCACCTCAAATATGGAAATATTTTATCAATATGGGTTGGGTCAGTTATGGGTCACTAGATTTATTTTGCATGGAAATGGATCAAAATGGGTTAACTGGGTCAATTTGGATCGGACCATTTTCGACCCGACTCGCCCGTTGACAGGTTTGCACATAGGTACAAATTTGGAGCTTTTGGTGACACTAAATGGGTCAATTTGGGTCGGACCATTTTCAACTCGACTCGCCCGTTGACAAGTTTGCACATAGGGACAAATTTGGAGCTTTTGGTGACACAAAAAGTTTCGAGTGAATATGTCATAATCGGTATAGTTTGGAATTTTTGATGACTTTTTTTCAAAAAAAGAAGAAGGAGAAACTATTGAGATAAAAGAAGTAAAGATTTTAAGCAAACAACAATATAAAAGCTGAGAAATAGTCACATAGCTTTATCTATCCCAACTAATTTGTTGAGCAAAAGTCATTGTGGTCCTGAGGGAGAAGTCGAGTTACATCCCAACTACTTTGGCAGTTGTCTTCCTCATCGCTTAATAAAGATGTTTGGACTTAAGCAGTTTCTTAAAAGACTTCATCTCCTAAGATCTCTCCCTTAAGCTTTAGGGGATGTAAAGCATCAATGGAATATTCCCTCCTCTTTGGGAAGACAAATACCAGAAGGGGAATTAGGGGTGCGAGGCGTGCGGACAACGACACGTTAAAATAAGAAGTGCATCCGTGGGGTTACATCCCAACTACTTTGGTAGCTGTCTTCCTCATCGCTTAATAAAGATGTTGAGTTGGGCGTTGAAGCGGTTGAAGCCACCATTGGCCAGGAGGAACATTTGCGTTGTACCGTGAAACGTGATTCTCATGGTGGCTCACCATTTATTTATGACGATGGAAGAAGAAGATCTTCCGGTGAGCGCTACAGAGGGGGAAGAAGATGGAAGAAGAAGAAGGGAAGTACTTTTTTTTTTCCTTTTTACTTTTCCAGAAAATTAAAAAATAAAAAGCAGGAAAAAGAAGAGACCTTGTTCGAATAAAAAGTAAAAAAAAAATCGAAAATTGAGCCGAACAAACCGAACCAAATCGATTTTTCGGTTCGATTCATAGTCGGTTCGAGTGAGATTCGATTCGGTTTAAGAGTGCACCCCTAACGGTTCGATTTGATTCATAAACCGAACCATTTACACTCCTAGGCTATCAACACCCGATGCGTGGCAAGAGACTTCACTACTTGCTGCCTAAGAAGATGACGATAGGCATGGCTTCTCCATTTTTCATGTTGGCAAGGACGAGTTCAGGGTCCAGCCGAGGGAAAATTTGAATAATTTCCTTGTGGTTGGTAGATCTCTATAACTATTGGTAAATTTCAAATAGTGCCGGTGAAAAAAGTATAATCGATAACTTGATTATTAGGTAACTCGTTAATAACTTATCAAAATTATTAAGAATTTATTAACTTCCCGAATAAATTAATATATTATCAACTCTTCTGAAATTTTACAAGTATCATAAGTAAATTATTATCACTATGATAAATATCAATTCAATAACTAATCAACTTCTTTAAATTGTTACCTTCACATTGTTACGATAAAAAATTAAAGCTGGCTTGAGGGTTTTTTTTTTTTTCGGATGAAATCATATTCACTGATATTGGTGTTTCTGCTTCGAATGGATCGATAGATTCATCATTACCATGACCATGTGATGAATGCGAGTCTTCCTTTGATCCCAGAGAAAAATGGAAGCAGGGTATAAATAAAGGAAGGGCAATGCTGCGATTTCGGCCCTTTGAGTAGCCAATTTTGCTGAAAAGTTTTTAATCGAATTGCTGACAACACGGATTAATCAAAATGGCTGATATTAAAACGCTCGAATCGGATGGCTGACAAGAAACATGATAAAGTTGTCATGCACGAAAGCGCGGGATTGAATCTATATGTGTGACCTCTCTCCGTCGTTTCTTTATACAATTTTCTCCTGGTCCCAAAAGTAGCGTTAAGGTTAAACAAAGAAATGAAGAAGACCAAAAAAAAACGAAGTGGACCTCCTTTCAAATTCTAAGAAGAGACGTAAAGAAATAATTAACGGGCACCAATAAGCATGCGGCCCTACTAATAAATGAAATGAGGGGTGAGAATGCTAGCATCACAAGTACGGGGTTCGACTCCTGCGCTCTGCAAGAGGCAGAGCAAAAATTAGAGAGTGAGGGGAGTTAGAGATAGGACAGACAAAAAAAAAAAATTAACGGACAACTAATGACATTCGCATAATCAAATTTGAATGGATCACATTCACATAAAACTATTAACCACATAACACCTAGCAAGTGTCATGATCCATGTATGTTAGGACGTGAACGGAAAAGGACTACCTGGCCCCAATTTGGGGGACCGAAAATGATCCGACATTCTCTCTCTCTCCAAAAACTGTAGAAAAAACCCCATATCAAATTTTGAAGCTAACAAAATTATTCATAATTTATCTTGAATCTGATAATTGCAAACTCATGAAGAGAAGTCCATTCGTATTCAATCTACTGTTGTTTGAACATTGCGGCCATGAAGAAATCTCTTTAATAAACTTGATATTATCCAGACTCTAGTCACTATTATTCAAACGTCGTGGTTGAGGAAAGTTACTTATTGGATATCTTTACAACAGCAGCATGGATATTCGCTAAATTTATGTGTGGATGCATCTGATTACTTCAGACTCTATGCTAAAGCTGAATATTTTTCGGATTATGAAAACTACTTATGATAATATACATTTAGACGCAAACTTCTATCATCACAGTTAGTGATCTAGCCTGGATTTACATCATAGAAAATATTGCTCTTCGATATTAAAGATTGTTTTGCAACAAAATCCTTCATGCAAGACATCTTTGATTGATTGGCAATCAACAAGCTACTTTCCTTAAACGAAGAACTCTATTTAAGAAAACTGAAGACTTGCTTGTATTAAATCAACGGGGATTCGGACTTATCTCTCAACGTCTACTCAATATTTTTTACGCATTTTGTCCAACAGATTGATAGGAAGATGATCTTTTGAAGACTGTCCAACGGTTAGTTTTAGAAGTGAAAGAGTATAAAGGAGACCAAAGTGCTGAAAGACGAGAGATCGAGAATAAAAAATTACAAATTCCAAGAGAATTTCGATTTTACATACTTGTCTTTCGTGAGCTACAAATTGTAATCTTTGAGAGGCATTGAAAAGAGTGATTGAGTGAGATGGAGAGACCTGTCATACACTAAATACTATCACTCACAGTTGTAATTTTTTATTGATTATCTAGTGAAATCCGGCCAGTAGGCTATTAACGTGGGAAAGTAGACATAAGCTTGCTCTAAGCCAAACCATTATAAATTTTCTATGAAATTTCTTCTATCTCTAAACTCTTGTTGATTGTTCTTGATAGACTTTTGCACATTAGTGAATTGCATCGCATCTCTATTCATGTTTAGACTCTGAATTCATTCAAACTTGATAATACTTATCTTAATTACTTTATTTCCACATTGATTTGTCAATATTTGTTCAAATTACCTACTTACCTTCTCGAAGTGATATTGCTAGCTCCAACAAAAATCATCCTTGAAGTTCATAAACTATACTGCTGTGCCACTGTGCGGTAGTCGAAAGGTTTTCAAGTCTCCTTCTTATCCCTTCCATGCAAATGCCTTGTCTGTATCTCTTCCATGTCTTTTGATGTTGAGACACCTATCAAATGCCATAATCCATGTATGTCAGGACTCGACCCAACTTTCCACTTGAGGATGTAAGCAATGACATAATACGAACATTGGAGAAGAAGTAAAAATGTCACATCCTTGTGGTGAGGAACTTTGGCGGCATTCTCGACTTCCATAATAGGATATATAATTTCACATTTTCAGTCAAGTACGCACAGCACATGAAAAAGTTTCATTTTATTTTTTAAATATGTGCTAATTTCATTGATTAACTTTCCATCTAAAATTTTATCCTCCCCATTTTCGTTATTAAAAGATAACATAAATTCAATATAAAGTTAATTATTCATTCTTTTACAAAAAAAAGTTTCTGATGTTAAGCTTTTGAGAATACCCACATTAAGCTACACTTATACAAAAATTTTATTGATTGAGGATGTCTATGTTCTCATTTTATGTGGCAAAGTCAAAGATATCATATGTATGTCTTTTACGAGAAGGACTCGTTAGTGCGATACAGATTTAAATTATGTTTGAAATATTTTGAATTGGCGATGAAAATAAAAGTAAAGAAAAAAGAGGTGTAGAAAAATCAGTGAAAGATATCAACGTATGTCATTACGGGAAGGACTCATTAGTGCGAAACAGATATAAATTATGTTTGGAAGATTTTTTGAATTGGCGATGAAAATAAAGTAAAGAGAAAAGAAGTGGAGAGAATGAGTTTCCCATGTTGTTCAAAAAGTATGGATCTAAAGGCGGTGAAATAAAATAAAATAGAAATCCATTGAAATGTGTTGTTTGCAAAATAGTGGATGCTGGATGAAAAAATAATAATTATGTGAAATCACACTTGTATCTCTTGTTTAGTAAATTTTCCAAATTTACACTTTTGTAAATAGAAGGTATTTCCACAAAATTTCTGATGCCATAAAATTTGGAAATGAAGAGGTCATTCACGAAAAGAGAATGGTACATCATCTCCAGCTGGGACTTTGGCTCCATCCACAAGTCGGTGTATATAGAGGGAATATCCACGAGACAGAAAATAACTTCCACTTCAACCACGGAAAATACTTCTCTGCTTTAGATTTTTACCTGCTTGCGAGAATAAGCTTTTGAGAATACCCACATTAAGCTAAATGTATCTTAAAAAGTTTAATTAATTGAGGATAACAATGTTCTCATTTTATGAGGTGAAGTTAAATATATCAATATATCACTTTTATAAGGACACATTAGTGCAATACAGACTCAAATTATGTTTGGAAGACTTTTTGAGTTGGCGATCAAAAATAAAAAGTAAAGAAAAAAGAGGTGAAAAGAATGATTTTTCATATTGTTCAGAAAGTATGGACCTAATGGCGGTGAATAAAAAAAATTATAGATATATATTACCTACATCATGATCGCAAAAGTTTTTTTTTAACATAAACAGTCTTAGAGTGGAAATATAAACTTGTCCATGGAATAGAGTTACGTGCAAAATAAAAATTTTAAGTGTCATTATCCAAAAGCTGCTTATGTAAAGAAAATGTACACCGCCATTGTATAGAATAAAGCCTGTTGAAATATAGTGTACGAATCTTTTTTATATGTCTAATTCTATAAAACCTGCTTATGCAAAGAAAATTTTATACCGTTAGTGCACTTGGAAAAAATATCCTTGGAAATATGTTGTTTGCAAATCAGGGGATGGTGGAAGAATAGGAAAAAGTAACGATGTGACACTTGTATTTTTTTTTTGAAGTAAATTTTCCAAATTTACATTTTTGCGAATAAAATGAATTTCCATTAAATTTTTGATGTCATAAAATTGGGAAATGAAGTCGTCATTCAGGAAAAGATAATGGTACGTCATCATCTACAGCTGGAACTTTGTCTCCATCCGCAAGTCGGTGTATAAAAGGAGAAGATCCACATAGGATGGAGCTCAACTTCCACTTCAACCACGTAAAAAAATACTTCTCTGCTTTAGATTTTTGCATGCTCGAGAGACGGCACGCCAAAGAATCCACCATGGATACCCAAGGCAGTTCGGTTGTGGAACCATTGGCAGGTTTGTTCTGATTCGATCCCATAAGGCAATGCAAAAATTGATAAAAGTTTCCGTTTTTTGTGTGTTAATTCGAAGTAATATAGACAATATCTTGGATAAATAATTTATTGAAAGTTCCCACATTTCTTTATTTTATTCTTAACAAGTTGAACCTAAGATAATTTGCACGGAATCTGAGATAAAGTTCAGTCATGAACTTTTTGGTTTTTTCAATTCAGTCTTAAACCTTTGTGCGGAATTTCGATGTAGTCATTCCAGCCAATTTTCACCCAAGATCAATGACGTGGCGGCGTACTAGGATAGCTGGCAATTACTGGACCGCCATATTAACGATTTCCGGCCAAAAAATACCGGAATGACTATATTGAAAATTCGCACAAAGATTTAAGACTGAAAAAATTGAAAAGTTTAGGATCAATTTAGCATCCATACAATAGGTTTATGACTAGTTTGGCAATTTTCTTCCCTTAATGACTGGTTTATTAAAATTAATTACTAGAAAATTTCTTCTTATCAGAGAGTTTTGCCCAAACAATCACCTCTTAGGGACTAATTATTTCCTATCTTTACTTAAAATTCAAATTGAATTTGCAACTGATTGTCCACAATGCAATTTCATCGAGAGCTAAGGGCAAAACCAATGGGTTTTGAATAGTCAATTACTTCTCATTAAGATCCTCGAACTAGTCAATTCACTTAGTCATCTCCAAAAGAGAAATCATGTAATGTTATTATGAGCCCACGATAGCTTGTCAATAGAAATGGTTGTCACTATTATGACAAAGTGTAAAGATAATATTAAAAGAGAAAATTCACTAACGAACACATTCCTCTAGATACATGGATGGTGGCACGTTCTTGCGACAAAAGGAAAGAAAAAATAATATAGATTTTGTAAGAAAAATCAGATCAATTCTCTTTCCCAACCGTTAAGTCAATTGATAAAGTTTAGTCAATACACTTTATTTAACAAAAAATCTATGCAATGCATTGGTATGATAGTAGCAATAAATGTCATAAATTTATATCCTATATGAATTGTAACTTAAATAAATCGTATTAGTTGATGAAATCTATAGGATTAAGTTAAGTCATTTAATTTTATTTTTGTACAATTCTGTTATAATTATTACGTGAAATTGTGGAGATGGATAAAATTGTGTATAGAAGTAGTTTATAATTATTCCATTAAATTTAATGTTAATTTTTTTTGTTTAGAATTTTACCATCTAAGTTTAACACAGAAAATTCCATGCAATGAACGAGCCTCTTACTAATCATGTTTAGATGATCTAAAGCATACAAAGTGCAATTACTTTTTCTAAGTTTACTTATGTTCCTTTTTCTTTTTGGTAACAAAGAGGTCCGCATAGACGTGAGCTCAGAAGGCATGGCAATTAAGAAAGCTTCCCAAGACGGCCGCAAACCAACTTCATTTGAAGACTACCAAGGGATCACGATTCAATCAAAAACTAAAGGTTTGTCATTTCGAACTTTTAACTTTCGTTTTTCATAAAGCATTGTTTTTCATGCATTTGACTTTTTTCACTCCAAAACATTTTGACAATATAATTTATGTTCATATTTTTTTGGTAACAAAGAGGATCCCATAGAAATAAGTTCAGAAGGCCCGACAATTGATAAAGCTTCTCAAGATGGTGGCAGACCAACTTTCTTTGAAGTGTACCTGAGGATCACGAATCAATCAAAAGCTTCTGAAGATAGTGGCGGACCACTTGAAGGTTTGTCACTTTGAACTTTTAATTTTTATTTTCATTAATCTTTTCTAATATTTTTTTAAACTTTTTTTATTCTAAACATTTTAAATGTGGCAGCAAACAAATGCTTACATTTCAATTCAAATATAATGTTTTCTAATTTTTGAACTATGAACAATATTTGGAATTATAATTGAGAAAGCCCAGAACAAAAAACTTTTCACACTCAAAGAGTAAACCAACGTGCTCATAGAAAAAGGTATGTTGAGTCGACAACAGTCTCTTCGCTTGCATCTACATTTCATCAAGAACTTCGAGCAGGTGCAATGGTCTTTTTTAACTTTTTTAACCCTAAACATTTTAAATGTCGCAGCATACAAATGCTTACATTTCAATTCAAATATAATGTTTTCTAATTTTTTGAACTATGAACAATATTTGTCGACCAAAAAAAAACTATGAACAATATTTGGAATTATAATTGAGAAAGCCCAGAACAAAAAACTTTTCACACTCAGAGTAAACCAACGTGCTCATAGAAAAAGGTATGTTGAGTAGACAACAGCCCCTTCGCTTGCATCTACATTTCATCAAGAACTTCGAGCAGGTGCAATGGTCTTTTTTAACTTTTTTAACCCTAAACATTTTAAATGTCGTAGCATACAAATGCTTACATTTCAATTCAAATATAATGTTTTCTAATTTTTGAACTATGAACAATATTTGTCGACCAAAAAAAAAACTATGAACAATATTTGGAATTATAATTGAGAAAGCCCAGAACAAAAAACTTTTCACACTCAAAGAGTAAACCAACGTGCTCATAGAAAAAGGTATGTTGAGTAGACAACAGCCCCTTCGCTTGCATCTACATTTCATCAAGAACTTTGAGCAGGTGCAATGGTCACAAAAATGCGTAAGCCTGAGGACTTTTGATGTGCAATTTTTGCAGTTATGCCAGCACCAGTGGTCATTGAAAAGAATCGATCATTATTTGTAGCAGCACAGAAAGGTGATTGGAAAGCTGCCGAGAAAATCCTCAAGAAAAATCCCGAAAAACTGAAGGCCGAAGTTATGACCGTAAAAGATGAATCCTTTACCGTGCTCAATGTTGGGATTATGGCCTCACAAGATCAATTGGTCAAGAACCTCGTCAAGCGCTTCCCTCGAGAATATAAAGATTTCGATTTCAGTCGTTCCCTTGAGAGTGCTGCCTTGAGAGGAAGAATAAAAATGGTAAAGGCATTGGTAAACCATGTTAAACCTGAAAGTGTACGCAATGCCCTGAAGTATACTACTAAACATGCTCCTAAGCAAAAGGAGGTTATCTGGTATCTGGCCAAATGTATAAAATCCGCCCCAATAGATGGTACCATGTCCAACCTTATTAAGGCCGGCCATTCGGGTAACTAATTAGACTCACTCATCTCATTTCCTTCACTGTTTACTTGGATTAAATTTCTGTTGTTGTGTCCCAAAAGACATAGCCTTGTATTTGGCTTGTCAACACCAAGGCTCAGCGTTACATGACAAAAACAAGTGGATTTTGGAATGCTTGGCGAAGGTGGAGTCTAACTTTCATAGTGGAGCTAGACTCAATTTTTGGGAAAAATCTACTGGCAAATGTAGGTACTTCTTGCACTTCTTTTAGCATATGCACACAATCCGAGTAACTCTATCCATGAAGATAGAGTCTCTAATCAGTCTATCTATTCCCAGTTTTTGGTATCCCTCTATGTCTGGTGGATACGTCATTCGACAACTCCAAAGACACGAAGACGGCTCGAGGTATTTCTGATAATTAGCTTAACGTCTAGACTAACACGTCAAAAGCATATCATTTAGGAATCCCATTGACAAAAATGTTAAGGGACAATGACTACATCTATGTACACAAATTAATATCTAAACCATAATGTATATCACAAATTAATATCTAATGTAACATTTGTAAACTTAGTCGAGAAATCTTACTCGATGTAAAAATGCCGAGTAGAATTGTTGAGAATTGTAGAATTGGATCTCAGATCACAAAGGTTGATGGATCCAAGTTGTCTAGCATATTTAAGCAATATTAAATTTGGTTATTGTCATATGTATCATTTTGTTCATCATCAATTCCTAATTTGCTGACATGATGCTTGTCTCCTCTTAGTGGTGGTAGCACTTAATCGGTTCAAGATATCACTCCCGAATCTTGCCACAAAACCAGGTACATGAAAATGCCATGGCATCCATAGAAGAAATACCTTATTTCATCCATGGGTAGAGATCCCTAAATTTAAAGTGGAAATTGATATTTTCGGTATATCCCTTTGAGATCATAGGCAGTTTGCATATTACGATATGATTTGATAAGATTCAATTCTAAGTCTAAACAGTAGATATATATTAGGGGAATCTGTAAAAATAATCAATCGAAATCAGATCTATTGATCCATCACTAAATCTACCAATTTTTTAAAAAAAAAGGACACTTTTTTTCCTCATGACATTGGGTGTTCATCAACAGATCAATCTGTTCTGTGGTGCATGCATTTTGATTTTCAAGCCATATAAAGTTTGCTTCTCGATACCTATCTTAAAATTTATGATTTTCTTCTCAACTTCTATTTATACATACGAACATGGGGCAAATGTTAAAGCCTCTTTAACCTTTTGATTCTTCATTGTTTGGAAAATTGCTAATCTGATGTACGTGCAGCACTTTTCATCAAAAGCATTGGATTGAGGCACAAATGCTCAATTGAGTTAGCAAAAATGGTTCTTACCCAGATGAACGCTCATATGAATACCAAGACGAACACTGAAATACTTGAGCTTCTTTCAAGAATTGTCCTCGACGCTGCATCTCGTGGAATCTGTGAAATTGTCAAGTTATGTTTCGAGCATTTTCCAGAGTTGATGTGGACCGAAAATTTCATAGAAAAATTGACGAAAGAAGTTGTGAATGGACGGCATGTGGAGTTGTTTAGACTAGTGAGCGCACACTGCGAAATTCCACTATTGACTGATGATAAGACAAGGAAAGACGTCCCAACGAGGAAAGACATCTTGATGAAGGCAGTAGTAGATTGGTCACCAAGATGTCTACCCAAAGATGTTTCTGGAGCACCTTTTCTTATGCAGAGGGAGCTCCAGTGGTTTAAGGTCGGTTCACCTTATTTGTTTGCCACTCATTTGTGCTTTTTAATTTATAATTACATTGATAGGCGTCCTTTATTTTTCTAAAGGTGCTAGAAGACACGAGCAATACTTCTTCTAGAAGTATGAAATTGAAGGTCGGTTCACCTTATTGTTTGCCACCCTTTTGTGCTTTTTTATTTATATTTACATTGACAGGCATCCTTAATTTTTTAGAGGGCGTTGTCAGACACGATCGATCCTGCTTCAAAAACTAGGAGATCGCCAAAAGATAAAAAACCATACTGGGATGATTTTGTAGAAAAACGCAAACAATTGCTCAAAGAGGCGGGGCAATGGATGAAGGATACGTCATCATCTTGTAGTCTCGTCTCGACTCTCATCATTACGGTAGCTTTTGCTGCGGCTTTTACAGCACCAGGAGGCAATGATGGTAGTACAGGGATGCCGATCTTTCTGAAAAGGGGCTCATTCATGGTATTTGCAGTTGCAGATGCTCTCGCTCTCTTCTCCTCTGTCACTGCCACCTTGATGTTCTTGGCTATCCTAACTTCACGTTATGCTGCAGAAGATTTTCTCTACTCACTACCGGAAAAAATGATACTGGGCCTTACTTTTCTCTTCCTCTCTTTGGCCTTTATGCTGGTGGCATTCAGCTCTGCTCTTACTATAATCCTGGGTGAACGATTGACGTGGATTTACGTCCCAATTACTTTGTTGGCTGCCATCCCCGTCGTATTGTTCGCAATCCTACAGCTTCCCTTGTACTTTGAAATGGTCGAATCCACCTATTGGCCTCGCCTCTACCGTCCCTTGAAGCTTTGGAAATGATCTATGTTATTATTGGACAAGGACATTTGTGATGTGATATTTGTTTGCATTATTACTGTGTGTGAGATATGACTATCATGGTGGTTACTTATAATAAAGTTTAATGTAGGCTGGCAAATGCACACCTTGTCTCAATGTGTTATTTGATATTGCCACCCCCCCCCCCCCCCCCCAAAACAGTGAGCAATTCCTTCGTCACTCATTGTCGTCTTAAGGTGAACCCAATTTTCAAAAGAATTGGCAACATGGCCATCAATATCCAAATAGGGTCACATCCAATCAAAAAAAGCAACGATCCACACAAATTCTTAAGGTGAACCCAATTTTCAAAAGAATTGGCAACATGGCCATCAATATCCAAATAGGGTCATCCAATCAAAAAAAGCAACGATCCACACAAATTCGATACACTACACAAGATGGCCACCCAACTGGTGGCCCAACACAAGGAACTTCTGATGTAGCAACCTGGAGCAAACAACTATTTCAGTTCAATGGAAATTCAGCCTTCGAAACAAATCTTCACCAACTGCCCATACTTGCACCTCATCCCCTCATCCAACTCTTATCAATCTTCACCCACTGCCTATACTTGCACCTCATCCTCTCATCCAACTCTTAAGCTTTGACCTTTGCCATCTTAACTGTGTTGGCCATCGATTTCACCTGCACTTTTGCTATCCTCATGCTCCGCTTCTTCTCTACCGTATCCCTCTCTACACCCAACCCTTCGTACTCCCTCACCAGCGACTATGCATGGTGCACGTCAGCACCAACACCACCAATTCCATCAGCAACATGGCCATCAAAGCCCTGCACTCCTGCCCCACCAGGACTTTAGCCTCTCTCAGGTCTCTCTATGATCTCAGCAGTGAAAGGCTTGACATTTCTTTGGTGAACAGCGCCAGGACGCGGAGTACATGGCCGGACAGCAAAGCTAGAAGGATCCAGATGTGGGTCAAGAAGTAGAAGCTGGTGAGCTGGGAGTAGAAGCCCACGAAAGAGGAGACAAGTGACATGGACGATATTATGAGGAACACAATACTGAGCGAAGTTAGGGTATTCTGACGAGGATTATAGTAGCGAAAGATGTTGCGGAGAGGATGAACAAAACATGTTGAAATAGTTTGTTATCATGAAAAGAGCTGACTCTTGATTATGAAAAGTGGTGATGTTTCATGTTGCGGAAGAAACGATCGAACAATAAAATTGACAAAATAAGAAAATAAATTGGACACCAGATTTATGTGGTCTAGTCATAGTGACCTACGTCTACGGAGAGAGCAGCGACGAATTCTACTATAAATCAAACGATACAACGGAGATTACAACTACACTCGAGTCACTCAAACACTCTAAGTGTTTCATAAGCTCCAATTACACCCAATAACTCACGCAGTGTTTAGCCTCACAGTTCCTCACGAAATAATCTCTCAATCTCACGAAGGAATTATACACAAATCTTATCACAAGATTTAATTGACTTCAACACTAAAAGCTCTTGGTGTAATTGCGCGAACGAAAATCAAGGAAGAAAACCCACTCAAGCACTCGGACGGCGCTTCATGACCACATCAACAACGGCGGTACCTCTTCTTCATAGCCACGGCGATATTTGATAGATATACACAGAAGCAAGACCCCACAAAAGATAAACCGCCAGAGAAGTTTGACACCAATTCATAAAATAGGAAATTCGGTCAACGAAGTCCACCTTCACTTTCCTTTTCCAGTTTTGGTTGGCCGACTTCAGCAACAAAGATATTTACCCACGTGTCAAGCCCCAAATTGGATCGGTCAAGGAAGTTGACTTCGTGCGGCCACACCAATTTTGATATCATGACGAAACAGTAATCCTTCCACAATATGGACTCCTATTACCGAATGGGAAATACGATTTCCATGCAGCGCCGCCGCAAACGTCCATAAAATCAATTTCAGACTTTCCTTTAATAATCTTGGGTTGGGTTTCATTCAACAAGCTCAAACTCGAGACATATTTTAATAGTTCATCATGAAAACGGCTTATGGTGGGGATAAGATATTAATTTCCAAGAGATGTGTCGATTGGTTGTTTATAAATAGGGACCGAAGCACACATTGTTCATAATAACTACAAATGTTGAAAACAATAACTTCTTCTTCATAAGTCTATTCTTCTTTCATACACACATCTTTGACAATACATTCAAGGTGAAATTCCAAGAGAGAAATTGATGAATTGCTGAACTCGTTTTTCTATGGCTTTGGTGTATATCCTGAAGGTATATTTGTTCTAAACCCTGCAGCAATAATAGTAGGGGAAAATAATACTTTAAGGACAGTGATTGTCATCATGCATCAAAGCATCAAAGATTTATTGATGCAACCCAGCTTCAAGATCAACTCGTTTAGCCAAGAAGATCGGTTCATATTCAAGATAGACAAATCGACAAGAGTCTTACTGATAATATCGATAAGAGAAAAGCCTCATCTTTGACTTTGTCATTTTATCGACAAGAGTCTTACCGATAAACAAGAGTCTTACCGATAAGATCAATAAGAGAAAAGCCTCATCTTTGACTTTGTCATTTTCCATGCATCGAAGCTTGCATCAAAACTTCTCGAGACGGCCACTGACTTTGTCATTTTCCATGCATCGAAGCTTGCATCAAGACTCCTCGAGATGGCCACTAGCATTGGAAATATTGTACATTTAATAGTTCTTAGTTTCTAAGTGCTTCTAGTTTCTATGTACTTTAATAACTTATGGTTTCTAGGTTTAGTCTTTTGCTCTTCTTCTGTTTTTGTATAAAAGGGTCTCAAGTCCATGTAAAAAGACAGACTGATTTGATTAATGAAATTTGCCTAGTGCAATTCTCTTGAACCTTGAAGAGTTTAAACCCCTTGAAAACCTAGAAGAATTTTCACTTCGTCCTTGAAGAGCCAGAGCTTTTCAAGTCTACATCCTTGAAGAGTTGCAGCCATCAATCTAGAAGAATTGATGCCCTTTCAATTTCCTTGGAGGCCTAGAAGAGCATTCCTTGAAGTTCTTGTCTGTTCCCGCATTCTGACCAGTCACGACCGTCCATTTCCTTCTGATTTCGACAACTCCACAGTGCTTATCTGAAAAATCTCAAAACACAAAAGTTGTAGATCCAGGAGTCCTTGATCTTTTGGATTTGGAATCAGGTCATTCCGATTTGATTTGAAAAAGTTATGCCCATTTTTCCAAACTAGCGCAGAACTAATTTCTGCTCGATTTTGTGACGGAGTTTCCGTGTGTCCTAGTCACTCTCCCGATCCTATTGTTCGTGTAACAGCCCGAATTTCGATGTAATTTCCGGGATCAATAAAACTGATATTATTTCGCATTTCATTTTAGTAAGTCTCACCCAGAGCTGATCACTCTCGGGATACTAACCAATAGGGTATGGATGGCTAACTAGAAGATGGTACGTGGACCGGGGACCCTATCGCGAAAGGGATACCGATCACGAGAGATGCTGAGGGAATATTTTGAACCGATGTGGGCCGATCTTAGGAAAGGTAACGGATTTGGTTTGGCCAGGGCCAACGTTGTACACTCGGATCGCAGGTGAATCTGCATGACCGAAAAGTACACGTGGCCAATCAGTCCTGAACCTAAACCGAACGATCGTAGCCTCTGGGGCTAATGATAATTTCTCATTCTCTCAATGATCGAGACCATTGCGATACGGGTAGCCCTAGGTCGATACGCGTAATCTCTAAACTGCCGCCCGTTAGTGAGAGACCCTGAAATTGAAAGTTTAGCGGGTTTTGTTCACGGAATTGGGCCCGGATTTTGGTATCGATTTTCAAAGGCTTAAGAGACTATTTTTGGGAATCTGACGTCATATTACGCTGGCCACTCACATGTGGAGTTAGTACGAGTAAAAATTGGAATTTCGGTCCGGGGGTGAAAAATTACGATTTTGCCCCCGGGATGCCAGCGTCGCTTTTCGAGGCCAAATGAGGTTATTTTTCGTGGCCGATGCCATTTTTGGGTGGCCACGCATACCAGGAGTTTTGGACAAAAATTGGAATTTCGACAAAAATTGAAAAAATAATATTATTTTATTCCCGAAACTTTGACGTGGATTTTCGAGGGCTTGCGCGATGAATTTCGCGATTCCGACGCCATATTATGTTGGCCACGCATATATGGAACGCGTATGTGCAAAAATTGGAATTTCGGTTCGGGATCGAAAAATTACGAAAATGCCCCTAGGCCATTTTTGATTAATTCCGAAAATTGGATTTAATTTTGGGATTAACCAAGGTGAGTTAAGGTTAAACCAGGTCTGGTCAACCATGGTTAGGGGCAAAAGACCATTTCACCCCTAAATTATTGGATTAGGGCAAATCCTAGCCTTTGGATCAAGGGCAAAATTGTCCATTGGCTTGATTTTTGACACATAGCACCCTAGGCCCTAGTTTTTGACTAAGATAAGCATTTTTTCTCTCTCCTTTTTCTCTCTCTTTTTCTCTCTTTTTCTCATTTTCCATTCTGTGAACAGTACCGCCGGAGCTTCGCCGGAGCTCCGATCGCCGTTCCGTCGACACCCATTGCTCAAAGATGTCCATACGTCGCCGTTCGGCCCGGTCCCGTACATCTTTGCTTCACGTCCGTACGGTTATCATTCATCCGGACAGTACGGCCGTCGCCGCCGTGACCGGCGCCTCGCCGGCCACCGTTCCCCCAGTCGCCCGTACAGTGTGTCCGTACGTATGTACTGTTCACGCCGTCCGTACGGGGGGGGGGGGGGTACTGTTCACCCGTCCGTACACCGCGCCGCCGTCCGCCGAGAATTCCGCCGCCGGTTTCACTGTTCATCAGTGATCGGCCGCCATTCCCCGTCGTCGTGACCCTTGTTTTGGTGAGTAAAATTCCTAAACCCGGATTAGGACTGATGCGTTTTTCTGGACTGGTTTAGGTGTTATCGGTGCATTTTTGACTGGCTTAGATAATAGCAGTGTGTATTTGAGACTGGGTTGAGGACCGATTAGTAGAATTTATTATCGGAAAAATTTAGTGGATTAATGAGAATCGTTGGGGAGGATAATAGGGTTTAATGACCAATTTAGGAGTTCATCA